TTTATGGAGTAACGCAATATTGTAATGCATTACTTTTAAAAGTAACTTTCCCCAACACTGGTAGTAACACAAAAAAAAAATTATACATACAGGGCCTGAATTTCATTTTGGAAAATGGGGAGGAATTCCCCCTTTAAGTGGCTCTTATGGGGGGGGATTTTTTTAATTTGAGGGGGGAGTTAGGGTATTTCAGGGATCTAACTGTTACACATAAGTTTTGTTTCTCAACTGTTTTTAAAATAACACTGGCTAGTCTTCAATGCTGTCCTGCAGACAGCAGGTTTATTTAGGTTGCTGTCTCTTTAAGACCTCATGCATGGATCTAACTGTTAGTTTTGTTTCTCAACTGTTTACATTCACTTAATAGCCTATATACTGACAATGTTTAGTATTAAATCGACTGTTTACATGAATACTCATCAAGACGGGCATTTTGACATAATTTTGTATGTATTTGGCCGTTTACGTGCAACACAACTTCATTCTGTAGTCGTGCGCTTTGGGTGTGAGCTCACAGAAACTGTGCGTATAAAGCACTAATACCACACTGTAAAAATACTCTGATACAAGTAAAAGTCCTGTAAAGTAAGTATAATCAGGTATAAACATTACTTAATGTAAGTATAATCAGGAAAATTGATTTAAAGGTTATTATTCCTAAAACGTTAATGCACATCAGCAACAAATGTGCTCGACGCCGGCTCACATTGAAAATGAATGACTTCCGGCCACTTTGATGCTCTCGACGGCGGCGGTGTGAACGCACAGAAAGGAGTCTCACAGTTTAAAATTGTTAGACTCAAAAGCACGCGCAAGTGATACATTCCGTCTGTCCCGAACATCTTTAAGGCTAAAATATTTACGGGAATTTCCCACCTTACATGTGCGGAAACTGAAACACCGGCCAGTTGTATCAAAAAAAGCAGCCCAAATTTTATCAACCTGCCCAACGCATTTTTTCCCCGGCCTGACCAATTGGGTGGGAACCCGTGCCCAATCTGGCAACACTGACGCAGAATTAAGCCACAGCTCACTAGCAGCCCGTGTGTTGGGGGTAACGCGAGTTACGTAATCAGATTACTTTTTCAAGTAACTAGTAAAGTAACGCGTTGCTTTTTCATTTACAAGAAAATATCTGAGTTACTTTTTCAAACAAGTGACGCCAGTTA